TCGAAATCGGTACCAGCAAAACGCATGGGAAGTGTAAGCGCCAGGGGTTCTATTGATTTCATCACCCATCGAATGCAGATTGGTGTCTGCAAATACAAGATCATCCCATTCTTCATCCTCATCTTCTTCGTGATCATCGGCTGGTGTTGGCTTTACGCGAGGTCTCTCTTGGTTTTTTGCCCCCAGTTTTTCCCCCGCTTCCAGTGTCCATATGAGAGCTTGATGGGGTAATCTGGTCTTACCCATTCTGAATGCACAGCTGATGTAGTTCTAGTGGCGCTTTCTTGTACAGTTGGATACGTTGTCTTGCCTGGTCTCTTGTCTTTTTTTGCGTATCAGATCTGAAATCTGAAACGTGTCCAGAGTTGCAAATCCTGCGGCTACCCTTCTCTTTAAAAAACTAAATGTTCCGTATCTTCTCAGTTTAGATTTAAGCATCATGCTAACAGGTCACACAAAGTCACGCGAAACTTGTAAACTTTTCTGAAAAATAAAAAGAAAATGCAGACGCCACGCGCGTATATCCGTTACTCCTTCTTCTTCCGCGTTTGTCTGAAGATGTAATTGCGTTGTGTCGCTTTACAACATGGCTGCGATATTTGCTCTTTTAGCCGACACATCCGACTTCTGCACACATGAGTTGACCGGGTTAGCCTTCCCGGGTGTGTCCATTAATTACTTCTTAGTTAGTTAGTCAGTCATTTGATTAGTTACTCAGTCATTCAGTCAGTTAATCAGTCAGTTAGTCAGTAAGTCAGTCAATCGATTAGTTAGTCAGTCACTCAGTCAGTAAGTCAATTAGTTAATCAGCTAGTCAGTCAGTTAGTCAGTGAGTCAGTTAGTCAGTATGTCAGTCACTAAGTTAGTCAGTTAGTTAGTTAGCTAGTTAGTTAATCAGTCAGTCAGTTAGTTAGTTAGTCAGTCGGTTAGTCAGTCAGTTAGTTAGTTAGTCAGTCAGTCAGTCAGTCAGTCAGTTAGTTAGTTAGTTAGTTAGTCAGTCAGTCAGTCAGTCAGTCAGTCAGTCAGTCAGTCAGTTAGTTAGTTAGTTAGTTAGTCAGTCAGTCAGTCAGTCAGTCAGTCAGTCAGTCAGTTAGTCAGTCAGTCAGTCAGTCAGTCAGTAGTTAGTTAGTTAGTTAGTTAGTTAGTTAGTTAGTTAGTTAGTTAGTTAGTTAGTCAGTTAGTCAGTTAGTTAGTCAGTTAGTTAGTCAGTTAGTAGTCAGTTAGTTAGTTAGTTAGTCAGTCAGTTAGTTAGTCAGTCAGTTAGTCAGTCAGTTAGTTAGTCAGTCAGTTAGTTAGTCAGTCAGTTAGTCAATTAGTTAGTTAGTCAGTTAGTTAGTTAGTTAGTTAGTTAGTCAGTCAGTCAGTCAGTCAGTCAGTCAGTCAGTCAGTCAGTCAGTCAGTCAGTCAGTCAGTCAGTCAGTCAGTCAGTCAGTCAGTCAGTCAGTCAGTCAGTCAGTCAGTCAGTCAGTCAGTCAGTGGAGTGAGTGAGTGAGTGAGTGAGTGACGGCGTGAGTGAGTGAGTGAGTGAGTGAGTGAGTGAGTGAGTGAGTGAGTGAGTGAGTGAGTGAGTGAGTGAGTGAGTGAGTGAGTGAGTGAGTGAGTGAGTGAGTGAGTGAGTGAGTGAGTGAGTGAGTGAGTGAGTGAGTGAGTGAGTGAGTGAGTGAGTGAGTGAGTGAGTGAGTGAGTTAGTTAGTTAGTTAGTTAGTTAGTCAGTCAGTCAGTCAGTCAGTCAGTCAGTCAGTCAGTCAGTTAGTTAGTTAGTTAGTTAGTTAGTTAGTTAGTTAGTTAGTTAGTTAGTTAGTTAGTTAGTTAGTTAGTTAGTTAGTTAGTTAGTTAGTTAGTGAGTTAGTTAGTTAGTTAGTCGACAGATTATCTTCATTGCACATTGAACCATTCAGTCCATACATGCTCAGATCTCCCCCCCCCCTCCCTCAGTAAATCGTGCAGCGTGAAGCAGCTGATGACACCAGTCAAGTGTTTGGTTTTTATTGATCTTTGGCTTCCTTCATAGTGCTCTTGTCTGGCCACATCTGTTTTAATTTGTTCTTACAGTCTGCTCTCTGTTGCAGATTCACAGTCGTCACTTGGTTCTTGCAAACGTTTTTCTTTTCTAAAAGGCACGTCCGCCTTCCACGGAAGCTTTACCTGCAAGCCTATCAGCTTGCTCATTTCCTTGCATGCCTGAGTTCTATGGTACGAATATGATACTGATATTTGATTGTTTGTTTGTTTGTTTTAGTATCCACAAGTCATACGTTGTTAACTCTTATGGATATCGCATCATTTCGGCCTTGATTCCGTTGTAAATACCGTAAATCTGGGAGAAATATGGCTTGCTTGCCTACCCCCGGGATTGAACCCGGACCACAAAGAGTTCGTCACCCGGTCTCCACAAAATCCGGTTTAGCCAACTACGCTAGAGAGCCGGGCACTGATATTTGTCAACTTAGAGACTCAGATTACTGTCTTTGGACGCAGACCATGTCTATCCCCCCAGAGCATTCCCAGTGAGTCAGTGAGAAAGTGTGCACGGGTAAAGGATTTCGTCTCCAGTCATGTGACTGGTTTGGTCACTGCTATGACATCCATAGTCAGACGACTTGGGGTCAAGGCAGCAGCACCAGAATCCTGCTTCACAATTCTAACTCCAACATTTGCCCTAAAAGCCCGTGAGCTTCTCACATGACGAGCAACAGACCCGTCATGTGAGCTTCTCACATGACGAGCAACAGACCCGTCATGTGAGCTTCTCACATGACGAGCAACAGACCTGTCATGTGAGCTTCTCACATGACGAGCAACAGACCCATCTGTGTAAATGACAGCATCCGCCTCTAGAACATTCTCGAAAATCAAAGCCTACAAATTTGGATTGGCACCTTCCTGTCTTCGCCATGGCGTTGGTGGCTATACACCCTTCTGTGAATCGGAAGGTCGTGGGTTCCTCGCCCTGACGGAGCCAGATTTTTTTCTTTCAAAAATGACCTTGACTCCCAGGTTGACCCAGCCATCAATCGGTACCAGGTGCAGTCCTGAGAAGTAAATGCGGCCTGTGTAATTCTGATCACATCACCCACCAAGTGCCGATTGGTCTATACAAATATAGGTCTAGCCCTATATTCCCAATACGCATAAAGGCTTAAAAAAGAGACTTTTACTATTTACTTTTACCTTTCCGTCTTTCCAGACGATAGTGTTATGCTGCGCTATCAGGAATCATGGGACTCACATCCCATGGCTATGGCGAGTGTCACTTGCCGTTCCTGTCCGCGTTAAGGAAGGTCTTCCACAAACAGAGCGTGGGATTTCGGGACCGCTATTGTCATCATTTGTGTTCACTCTGTTTCTTCTCCGAAGGTTAGCTTTCATCCTTTCTGCAATTCAACCTCTCAGTAACACACAGCCTGGGCAGTATAGTATGGTAGAGACTATATAATGCCTGCCAGTGCACCATGTTCCCTCTCTCGACATGCCTTGTTTACTCTCAGTGAAATGTAACATCAGTACGTTTGGAACAAGCAAAGCCTAAAAATACCTTTTCCATGGTAACAATTAAAAATCTCTGCAATAGTTCTCGCTGACCTGTACGAGTTTACTATCATATGCCCAGTGCGTTAATGGCGGAAAAAAAACTCCTTTATATTACAGTTGCTTCCTGTCTGGCTTTGCCGATATGTATTGTTATAGACGAATGACGAGAATACCCTGGACAGATAAAAAGAGTAACGAAGATGTCTTGAAAGAAACTGATTCACGAAAAGAACTAGTTGCCTACATCAGAAAGAGACAATCTACATTCTTTGGTCATGTGACAAGAAGGAGAAAACTGGAGTGCATCGTCACAGTAGGAAAGTTGGAGGGGAGGAGGGGCAGAGGGAGACCGAGAGAACAGATGCTGGACAGTCTGACTTCATGGTATGGAGGATCATCTGTGTTAGAGTTGATTGAAAGTACACGAGACAGAAGGCTGTGGATAGACATGACTACCAACGGCACAGGGCATGGACTATGGCAGATCATCTGTGTCAGAGTTGATTGAAAGTACACGAGACAGAAGGCTGTGGATAGACATGGTTACTATCGCCACACAGCCTGGATTATAGGGTCTTGTTACACCTCAAATATTTACATCACCAGCATGTGCTCTGTCAATAATCACAGGTGATTATGATTCGCCATAGCACACGATGACCAGAATCATGGATGAGGCCAGTGCTCTTCTCCTGCTTCATTCACGTGACCGTCATCCAGGTATTTATCTCTTTGTGTTTCCTCCTTCTCTCTCTCTCTCTCTCTCTCTCTCTCTCTCTCTCTCTCTCTCTCCTCTCTCTCTCTCTCTCTCTCTCTCTCTCTCTCTCTCTCTCTCTCTCTTTCCGTCAACCTTTGCCATTTGTTATCATGTTTTCGATTTCATTCCTTCTGCTAACATATTCGCAGACAAAGAATACAAACAACAAAGGAAGTTTTACATCTGTTTATTTACTTCACAACAAAAACATCAACAACCCAACAAATAACTACTTCCGGAGCATTTCGCATCGTCCACGACCTTTGTACTTTACTGTTGACCGTTCTACTGGAGTTCAAACACTTATTTCCGGTTTGTGCGGGATGTTGATTGTTGGTTCATCAAATGAGGCTACATTTCAGGGATGATATTGTCGAAAGAAGATGTACAGATCTGTGAGAGAATGGTTGGTACACATAAACTTGGCATGTTTCATTGGCTAGATCGAATCTGTAGTCTTTTATTCAGGTTATATGTTGTTTAGCTTTGTCGACAAGGCTCTTATCCATTCCCTAAAAGCAAAGCTATAACTTTCGATTAACTTTGAAATATATATAAAATACTGCGCAACTGTGTCCCTTTTGTACGTTTTTCTTGTCTTAGTTTTAAATGTATTTATTTTTTCAAGACGCGTGGCATTGACGTCAAGCAGAACCACACCTCTTGTGTCATCTTTCCAGAAACTCATGCCCGAAATCCCCTCCGCTTTATTTCACAAGTCGATGTAAATTCCATGCTGAGACTGTGGAATGAGGATGGGCCCCTCGGCCTTGTCGATCAGCTTCAGGTCCTCGGCATTCAGCATAACTAGGTTGGTGCGGTTGGTGTCTGCGGAAGTGAAGGGAACCAGGAGGACTCCATCGTCTTCACTGGTGGCTCCAGGGTTAGGTACAAAGGTGGGTTCTGATGGGTACCATCCATCAAGCGCGTAGAGGGCGTCTGAGTCACGACCGTCATTTTTGCAGAGATCTTTCTTGGCAACAGCCACGGTCTCGATGTTGACGTTGTCAACCTTCTCGATGATTCCGTAGACGTAGCAGTATTGCTTGGACCGTTTCACTTCGTTGATGACTGGGTAGTCAAGCGTGGAGGCGAGTTTAGAGATTGGAGTTGGCGACTCGATGCTGCTGACGGTGGCGGTTGCATTGCTGAGGCTGATGACGATCCTCTTCATGTCAGCTCGGGGGTCGATCATGCCTCTGGCAACGGTGTCCCTAAGTCTGGGCAGCTCGAATTTGGTGTGGGGGATTGGGCTGTCGTAAGCGGCAACGTCGGCGATGACGGTGTCTGCTCCCTCGTCGTAGCTGTTGATGTGGTGGTAGACGAAGATTGCGGGGACTAGGAAGTTTTGGACGTTGCCAGTTTTAAGATCCACTACGTAGAGGGCGGTGGAGTCGTTGGTTTGTTGCCAAGTGTAGCAGTTGTCTTCGTTCCACATCCTGCAGGTGGCGTTCATGATGTAGGGGTTCATCAAGACGATAGCTTTTGTTTGCGAGAGCCCAAACGAGTGAATAAGTGGAACTTCCGGGATTGCAATTGAGGCAATGACCTCGATCTCTTCTGGCGATTTAACTCGGATTACCTTCAGCATGTTGACTTCCTGGGGCGTGCTGGCGGCTTGGATGAGAAGGTTGATCAGAAAATCTGTGTTTGGTTCAGGTAGGGGGTGTGATGTAGCCAGCTGTTTTAAGAACGAGGGTGAAGATCTTGACCCTGGTGCGGCTGCTGGGGCACCTGGCAGCACAGGCTGTAGTTTCCAGTAGGTGGAAAGATCGTCCAGAGACAACTCGTACGCAGGAACGACATCGTTTTTGGCCACATAACGAATAGCTTGCTTCTTGGTGTCTTTGAACTTAACGATGGTGATGTCCATGTTATCAATGCCAACCTCTTGACTTCTCTGAGCCTCCGCGGGGGTTAGACGAGGGAGTGGGGGAGAGAAGAAGATGTTTGAGGTAAACTTCTCGTTGGCTAGCGACTCGTTGTAGTAAGTTGATCTGATGAACTTGGTAGAGAAGGTAATGCTGTTGCCCTCGAACTTCCATTTGGCCACTTTAGCGAAACCATCCAGAGTGGACGTGACCGTAGAGCCGTTGCCGAGCTCAAACAAGGCCGGACCAACTCTCACCTGAATCAGAAAATGTTTTCTCCATTGTTGTTAACATTTGTGTGGAAAATGTGTTCCGTCATTGTTGTAAACATTTCTGTTCGAAAAATGTTTTCCGTCATTTTTGTTAACATTTGTGCTCGAAAAATAATTTATATCATTGTTGTTAACATTTGTGTTCGGAATATGTATTCCGTCATTGATGTTTACATTTGTGTTCGAAAAATTTATTCCGTCATTGTTGTTAACATTTGTGTCGAATAATGCATTCCGTCATTGTTGTTAACATTTGTGTTCGAAAAATTTATTCCGTCATTGTTGTTAACATTTGTGTTCGGGAAATGTACTCCGTCATTGTTGTTAACATTTGTGTTCAAAAAATATATTCCGTCATTGTTGTTAACATTTGTGTTCGAAAAATGCATTCCGTCATTGTTGTTAACATTTGTGTCGAAAAATGCATTCCGTCATTGTTGTTAACGTTTGTGTTCGAAAAATGTATTCTGTCATTGTTGTTAACATTTGTGTTCGAAAAATGTATTCCGTCATTGTTGTTAACATTTGTGTTCGAAAAATGTATTCCGTCATTTTTGTTAACATTTGTGTTCGGGAAATGTACTCCGTCATTGTTGTTAACATTTGTGTTCAAAAAATGTATTCCGTCATTGTTGTTAACATTTGTGTTCGAAAAATGCATTCCGTCATTGTTGTTAACATTTGTGTCGAAAAATGCATTCCGTCATTGTTGTTAACGTTTGTGTTCGAAAAATGTATTCTGTCATTGTTGTTAACATTTGTGTTCGAAAAATGTATTCCGTCATTGTTGTTAACATTTGTGTTTGAAAAATGTATTCCGTCATTGTTGTTAACATTTGTGTTCAGGAAATGTACTCCGTCGCTGTTGTTAACATTTGTGTTATTTAGGAAAAAGGGAAATTATAATCCATTGTTGCCTACGAAAAATGTATTTCGTCATTGCAGTAAGCATTTGTGTTTTTTCAAATAAAACATTTTTTTAATTGCTGTGTACGACAAATGCATTCCTTCATTACTGTTAACATTTATGTTTCCAAAAATGTATTCCACCTTTATAGTTAACATTTGTGTACTAGCAGTGTATTCCGTCACAGCAGTTAACATTTGTGTACAAACAATGTATTACGTCAATGCTGTTATTATTTGTATATGAAAAATGTATTCCGTCATTACTATCAACATTTGTGTACTAAAAATAAACTCCGTCATTGCTTTTAACATTTGTTTTAGAGAGATACATTCCTTCATTGATGTTAACATTTGTGTTTAAAAATGTATTCTCGCGTTTCGTTTATATTATTGTTAGAAAAATGTATTCCATTATTGCTGTTAACAATGTGTAAGAAAAATGCATTTCGTTATTGGTGTTGCACTCTGTCCTGAAAAATATTTCTTCATCGCTGTTAACATTCCCAATTGAAGGTAATATACTTTTGAATTGCTGTTAAATTATGTATTCGTAAACACACTACTTATTGCTGTTAACATTTATATAAGAATAAGTATTTTTATTTACTGTTAGTAAATTTGATGTATGAAAACATATTTACCCATTCTGTTGAGGGCAATATATATTGTTTTATATATTTAAGTAAAAATGGTTGAGTAGTCGAGTGATTGATTGATTGAATTGATATTTTGGTGGATTAACTCATGGATGTATTGTGGGATTTATGAAATCATGGATGGAGGAATGGTCACATGAATGGATAAGTGGATACTTTTAAATTTGAATAAGTAAATGTGAGTGAGTGAGTGAGTGAGTGAGTGAGTAGGTGAGTGAGTGAGTGAGTGAGTGAGTGAGTGAGTGAGTGAGTGAGTGAGTGAGTGAGTGAGTGAGTGAGTGAGTGAGTGAGTGAGTGAGTGAGTGAGTGAGTGAGTGAGTAGGTGAGTGAGTGAGTGAGTGAGTGAGTGAGTGAGTGAGTGAGTGAGTGAGTGAGTGAGTGAGTGAGTGAGTGAGTGAGTGAGTGAGTGAGTGAGTGAGTGCATGGACATTTTGTGGATAGTTAACTGAATGGATTAACTAACGGATCTATTGTTGGGGTGAATAAACGTGCACATGGATGGATGGTTGGATGGATATATGGATGGATTGGTGTTTATAAATGAAAGAATGGATGAGCTCAGGGATAGATTGATGGAGATATGTGTGGGTAGGTGGATGGATAGATGGATGGATGGGTGGGTGGATGGATGGATGGGTAGATGGATGATTGGACGGATGGATGGATAGATGGGTGGATGGATGGGTGGGTGGGTGGGTGGATGGATATATTTATGAATGGATGGATGGGTGGATGGTTGAATGAATGAATGGTTGGAGGGGTGGATGGATAGATGGATGGATGGATACATTCTTTAATGGGTGGCTGTACGTGTTGAAGACAACTCACCAAAGTTCCATTCAGCCAAGACGGGGCTTTGCCGGTGAAGTTCATGGCCACATTCTCCAACTCCTCGGGCGAGTTCTGGAACTGCAGCTCGAAGCCTCTCTTGACATTGTGCGAGTGGCAGCTGGCGTCATGAAAGACCAGCAAGGTCAAGGCCAGCGACACGAACCGCATTGTCATTCTCATCAACCTGCAAACCCCCAACAAGTGCCATCATTGCCGCTTGAGTAAAGTGCTGCATTTGGGCAGAAGCTAAAGGGTAGTTAACGTCGACTGGAGGGATTATATTGCACCGGGCATTATCCTGCATGGCTCAGTCTCTCTCTCTCTCTCTCTCTCTCTCTCTCTCTCTCTCTCTCTCTCTCTCTCTCTCTCTCTCTCTCTCTCTCCAGAACGGCCAGCCACCTGTAACTGAAAGCTACGAGGGGAAGTCAATAAGTAGGTCAGTCATGGCTATTAAAAACTAAGACGATAATAACTTGAAAACCGTTTAATTTTACACGTGCAACACTTTCTTTTTTTTCAACATAATTTATACCGACATTGATGCCCTAGTCCCATCGTTGTTATAAGTCATACCAAACCTGCTGCAGAGAACTGCGTGCTCTGTTTTCTAAACCACATTTTCACTTCACATTCAACTTCTCCATCAATCGCGAAATGTCTCCAACCAAGGTGGGTTTTCAGTGGACCAAAAACCATGTAAGCACTGTATTGCAGCTGCTACAGAGTCAACCGTTACTCTCCTGTCACCTCTACTCATCTCCTCCGCCTGCTGCACCGATGCGTCTGTTGCAATCTCAACAGGAATACCAGACTGGATTTCGTCAAGAATCGTAGAGCGTCTTTGAGAACATATTTCTGTATATATGTCCTTTGCAGGCAGCCCTTTTGACTCTCTTCAGCCCCCCCCCCTTCCCCCACCTCACCCCCCCCCCCCAAAGAAAAACCGCGCAACAGCAGATTGTTCTTCGAGAGTACGCTCTATAATTGGTCGCCATTTTGTGTGTTTTGAGAATGCGCATGCAACACCTAGCGCCATATAACGAACAGAGACCCAAATACTGTCTCGACCGACGACGTAGTCGTCTACCTGTGAGCGACCCGGTCACAGATGAAGTTTGTTCTCTTCTCATAGTGACGTCTAAGCTCGATTCATTCCAGGTGCCTTCTAACGGCTGTCAGCAGTCGTCTGTACTCACCTCCTCAAATAACTATTCTAGAACCCACGCCATATACCATGCTAGCCCTTCTTGGCTGTTTCATACAGCATGCAGGAAAGGGTGTAGCCTTACTGCTCTTGGCTTTTATTTAAATGGTGACATGCGCAGTAGAAACTGTCATACTTGTAGGGGCGGCTGGTCGGGCAGTGAGGAACTCTAGTCTCTTATTCGGGACTTCGGTTTCGAATCCTTGGTTAGATCCTCTAAATCATCAGAATGAAGGCCCCCCACCCCCCCCCCCCCCCCCCCCCACACACACACACACAAACACAAACATATACACAAACACACACACACACACACATATATATACACAAACACACACACACAAGGACGCATGCACCAACACGCACACACACACACCCACACACACACACACACAGCCTTAAAACAGAATTTACACAAGCAGTAAATATGTTGCCTTGTGACACCATACCATACAAAGACTACATGGAAAGAGAAGAAGGATGTAGAGCACGAGGTAGACCAGAACAACATGGAAGGATAACATCAAAGAAACTCTACAACAGCACGATGTGCCTATGGTCGAGGCAGCCAGAAGAGCTAGAAACAGAACCTTATATCTCCCTCGACACCCACAGCGGTAAAAGAGGAAGCGAAGAACAAGAAGAAGAATAAGTAAATATGTTATGTATCTGTTGTCCTGCTTCTTCGCGGTCATTAGTCGTAAACTGTCGATTTCTGAACTTCACTCTCGTTCAAGAAATTGAGTTTCTGCGTGCACCTTGTTTTTTTTCTTTTCAGATCTAGTTTATGCAGACTGTTGGTTCCTCGTCTTATTCAAGAAGATGAACTCTAATTTCGAAGGAAACACCCCTATTTCTGCAGCAAATAATTTTTTTACAGGGTTGGGAAGCTGGACTTCCACGCCCAACCCTTCTCCTTTTGATATTCTGGCTTGGGACCGGCAATGGTGGATATGAAGGCCTCAGCACTCTTAGTCACCTGTTACACATGCGTTTTATGAGGCATTAGGTCGATTCCGTTTTTCGCTCAAAATGGACCCCGAAACCCACACGAAGAGTACCTTTCTTTCATTCAGACTGGACATACTTACCTATGGGCAAACTTCAATGGTAAAACAAAGTCCCGTGTTGCAAACAGACGATGAGAATCAAACCCTAGCTGCCGTGGGGGTGTTTTTATATGTTTGGGCCAACTTGATTGAGTTGGATCTCGATAAATTAGCTCCCTGTAGTTAAGTTGCAACCATCTAAATCGTCGCTGTTGAAGGCTGGAGTCAGTGGGGCCTTAATTAACTAGGGGAGTCATAAACTTGTTCAAACTGTCGCAGTCTGTTAATTGGTTGGGTTCTCGGTACGACGAAGTGTTTCTGCTGGGATAGTTAGTGACTAGACAGGAAGTTGAAACAATGGTCGAGTGCATCGTTTAATCCTTGTTCACCTCTTTCTCTTCATACTCTTCATCCTATTCTTTGACTGATTCCTTTCTTTTCTTTCTTTCCTCACCCTCATTCTTCTTCTTCTTTTTTTTTCCCCCTGATACTCTTCCTCCTTCTCGTCCTCTTCCTTTTTTTTCTTTTTCGTCATCGTTATCATTATCTTCTGTATCTACTTCTCCTTTTGCATTCGCATAGAGGTTTGGGGGGGGGGGGGGGTTACGGGGTGCGTTGGCTCACTCATTCATTGTCCTGTCGTGCTATTTTGTCACTTAAGGCTCGCAGAGGGGCCTGCGTGGTGTCGGGGCATGGTGTCCGCCTCGTATGCTGGAAGTTCCGGGTTCAAGACCCGATGAAGGAAGAGACTTTTTTCACGTAGACTTATAATAATTGCACCTGGTCTCTGGGTAGTAAGATCGGACGCCCATGTGTATTTCTGCGCAAGCCAAAAAAAAAATCCCTTGGCAGTTGAAAATCGAAAATAGTAGCCTCACGGCGCTGCCCGGGCAAAATTCTGAGGTAAAAATCGACTCAAAGTATTTCAGGATCCTCGCCGGTGCTACGGAGTTCGTGCCCTGCGATGAGATTCTTTTGGCTCAGACTTGAGTTAATATTAAAACGGAGCACTTATGGATTCTGCCCTTGTGCCTTGATGTTGATCCGTTGTTTAAACCTAAACCTAAAACCTAAACATAAACCTATAGAGCTCGCTGTCTAATCCTCACTTCTGTTCTATCAGGTACAGTCACTTGGACATCGTAAATGAAATCCATTCCACATCTTTGGTCTCTCTCATCGACGTTTGCTTTATGCTGTTCACCGGAACGGCGGCTTACTTTCTAGCGAATTTCTGCAGCAATTTTTTTTTTTAAAACTGGGTTGGAGAGCTGGTCCCACGTCTAACCCTTCTTCTTTCTCACCCGGCTTGGGACCGGCAGTGGTGGAGATGGGGGACCCCGAGCAGTCTTATACATTTTCTGGGGGCTCCAGGGATTGAATCTACAACCAAGACCAGACTGCAAGAGCAGCCAGTGAAAGAGGGGTGATACCAAACAAGAAGTGATTAGTAATTAGAAAGGATTATCATCACAGAACTCTGGACAGAACTTTAGGTGCTCTGATCTCCTCTTCCTGAAAAGCTCCACAAGTGTAAAACGACCGAGGACGCCTGTTCTGTTGTTGGTTAATAAAACGTCTTGTCCTCTTAGTGAAATGTTTATTTCTTGCAGCTCGAGGCTGCGCCCCCATGTCCATCAGTCTAGACAGGGATATGGAGTCATGTCCTTTGGCGTGCTCCTCAGTACGGTAAGTGCAGCGCTAGGCATTGATAACATCACTTCTGTCTAGTACTGGGCCAGCCATAGCAACTGCGGTGTCAGCAAGATAGTCTGCACGCTCGTTGCCTTGAACACCCGCATACCTGGCTCAAAGATATAGGTTAGGGCAGATATTCGTGAAGTGCTTACTGTTTCAATCCATTCTTGCCTGATAAATCCACTTTGGATTTTAAGCATATTCATCAAATCGCTAAAAAAGCATACGTGTGTGAACTTTTGAGTACCACGCCATGCTAAAGCCCTTGTTACAGCCATAGTTTCCATAAAAACAAGAGGTGTCATGCATGAAGCCAAAGAAGAGTAACAGGTCAACATAGAACTGATGCTTGCGAATGACAGAACGACTCGGCCTGAGTTGGTTGAGGCCTATGCTTCATTATTGGTTAGACATGCAGATAAAAATAGAACTGGTGTCGGCTGTTGCTATAGCCTATTCGCTGCGGGATTGACTGATAAGAGGGAGGGGTCCCTAGCACGTGTGGACTGAATGGTTCGATGCGAAATGAGGATGATTTGTCTACCGAAACACCAATCTTTCGGATGACTCACATGCGACCAAGACGAACATGTAAACTACTTCAAACAGTCATTAAATAATTTCACATCTTCATTCAATATTTTAATCCAGTTGCATATGACAGCAGCATACTTTATAATAGCGTTAAACATTCTAAATGGCTTCGTCTCACTGTCTAAAATTCTAACCAAACACAGCCAATTTCTTCGTTTAGATCGGAAATATTGAGCACTTAAAGCAATTTCTAACAGTTAAAGCCATGTATTCTTTCGTTTCTCGGTAAATTTCCGCTCCGTGTTTGATAGAGCCCGTTGTCAAACATAATTTTTAAAAAAGCTTCATGTTTAATATTATTTTGTGATGGAGTTTAAACGGAACAAGTGATTACCGTAATCATGGTATTTCTGAAATCTTTTCTCCTCGTGTTGTTTGAAGGTTTTTTTAAGGGGGGGGGGGGGGGGGGGGTTGTGGAGATGGGGGAGGGGGCATGACTATTATTAACTGTCATTACTGTCTGTATTTATCACTTTTTTAGGGCAGCTATGATATGTTATTACAGTCAAAGTCACTGCACATTGGGCGCTCAGTTCTCCTGTCTGTTGTCCTGACTTCACGCTCCAGTTTATCTCTAACACACTCTGTCTATTGTCCTGATTTCATACTCCATTGAATCCTAAACCCACTCTGTCTACTGTCCTGATTCCAAGCTTCAGTGGATCCCAGACATACTTTGTCTTTTGTCCTGATTCCATCTCAACATACTCTTTCTGTTGTCTTGATTTCACGCTCCAGTGGATCCCAAACACAATCTGTCTTTTGTCCTGACTTCACGCTCCAGTGGATCCCAAACATACTGTGTCTATTGTCCTGATTCCATGCTCCACTGGATCCCGAACACACTCTGTCTTTTGTCCTGACTTCACGCTCCAGTGGATCCCAAACATACCCTGTCTGTTGTCCTGATTCCACTCTCCAGTGGATCGCTACACACTCTGTCTGTTGTGCTTATAGTACACTCTTCGAGACTGAGTACACTCTTCGAGACTGAGTACACTCTTCGAGACTGAGTACACTCTTCGAGACTGAGTAGACTCTTCGAGACTGAGTACACTCTTCGAGACTGAGTACACTCTTCGAGACTGAGTACACTCTTCGAGACTAAGTACACTCTTCGAGACTGAGTACACTCTTCGAGACTGAGTACACTCTTCGAGACTGGGTACACTCTTCAAGACTGAGTACACTCTTCAAGACTGAGTACACTCTTCGAGACTGAGTACACTCTTCCAGACTGAGTACACTCTTCCAGACTGAGTACACTCTTCGAGACTGAGTACACTCTTCAAGACTGAGTACACTCTTCAAGACTGAGTACACTCTTCGAGACTGAGTACACTCTTTGAGACTGAGTATACTCTTCGAGACTGAATACACTCTTCGAGACTGAGTACACTCTTCCAGACTGAGTAGACTCTTCGAGACTGAGTACACTCTTCGAGACTGAGTACACTCTTCGAGACTGAGTACACTCTTCGAGACTAAGTACACTCTTCGAGACTGAGTACACTCTTCGAGACTGAGTACACTCTTCGAGACTGGGTACACTCTTCAAGACTGAGTACACTCTTCAAGACTGAGTACACTCTTCGAGACTGAGTACACTCTTCCAGACTGAGTACACTCTTCCAGACTGAGTACACTCTTCGAGACTGAGTACACTCTTCAAGACTGAGTACACTCTTCAAGACTGAGTACACTCTTCGAGACTGAGTACACTCTTTGAGACTGAGTATACTCTTCGAGACTGAATACACTCTTCGAGACTGAGTACACTCTTCCAGACTGAGTACACTCTTCGAGACTGAGTACACTCTTCAAGACTGAGTACACTCTTCAAGACTGAGTACACTCTTCGAGACTGAGTACACTCTTTGAGACTGAGTACACTCTTCGAGACTGAGTACACTCTTCGAGACTGAGTACACTCTTCGAGACTGGGTACACTCTTCGAGACTGAGTACACTCTTCGAGACTGAGTACACTCTTCGAGACTGAGTACACTCTTCGAGACTGGGTACACTCTTCGAGACTGGGTACACTCTTCGAGACTGAGTACACTCTTCGAGACTGAGTACACTCTTCGAGACTGATGTTCGTCCATCTCTTGATGTTGTCCAGTACATGCAATTCTACTAGATTTGGCCATTGAACGTGACCGAATGCGACAACAGTATTAATGTGATGTTTCAAGATGGAGGTCACGTCTTTGAGCGACATTTATTTCACGAGTTGTCTCGACATAGGGCTTTGTTTTCAAATGCGTGTTTTTCTGCTACATTACAAATCATCATGTGTATTTATTAGCATAGCTGATCTGGACAAGGTGCGTTGTTTTAATTAGCGTCTTTAGGCAAATTTATGCCTCATTGACGACCCGCATTAATGTAGTTAGTCTGGTATAATTTTTTTTTTCTAATTCATGGTTTTCTTCCGCAGTGTGAATCGTCGTGAGTTTTCAGTAGAACAGTTTATGTGGACATAGAGCTTTGTTCTATTTCGTATTTTCTCTCGCTTTATACATCGCGGTGATCTTCTAGCGGTGCAGGTCATCTGGACACAAAGCTTTTTTTCTCATTTTTTCTTTTCTTTTTCTTTTTCTTCGTTTTCTTCTTCTTCTTCTTCTTCTTCTTCTTCTTCTTCTTCTTCTTCTTCTTCTTCTTCTTCTTCTTCTTCTTCTTCTTCTTCTTCTTCTTCTTCTTCTTCTTCTTCCTCGCGTTTACCAGCTATAAATTCAACAGTTCGTTTTATAGATCTCGCTTATTTGTAAGCATTCTGTTGGTTCCTTGCCTGTTAGGCAGATACACCTAACTTCGAAGGAAGTCCACAGTTAGTCGACTCATAGTTAGTCGACTCATAGTTAGTCGACTCATAGTTAGTCGACTCATAGTTAGTCGACTCATAGTTAGTCGACTCATAGTTAGTCGACTCATAGTTAGTCGACAAAGTTGCTGTGAAGGTAGTGGGTCTGTTTTTGTTTTCCCCAAATGGTTCCCCGGAACCCGCAAAGATAGAGCTTTGTTCTAATTTCGTGTTTTCTGGTACCTTATACATCATCGTGAACGTGAGCTGGTACCATTTGTTAGACTCCAAATGATGTTCTGCTGTAAAATGTCCCATCTGCAGTTTGGTCTTGCTGCATTCTGACTTATGGCTGAACCATTTCATTTTTTGTCTGTCAACACTCAGACGTTTTCATACATCAAGAGAAATCACTCTCTCAAACTGAACGTTTGAGAGAGTGATTTCTCTTGATGTATGAAAAGTAGGCGTTCTCTTGGTACTTTACCTACTTGTTCAAACTTTGGAGGTTGGGGGGGGGGGGGGGGTATAAGTGGTTCTTTGATTTGTTGACAGCTTAAAGTTATCATAGAAGCTTTTTCTGTCCTCCCTGGACATTCTTCCCTTGCTGTAGCTCGCCGTAAAATACTCTCTCTCTGGGAGGCGATAGTCTGGCATGCGGGTTAGGTGACCAGCCCAGCGCAGCTGACAATTCTTCAGTATCGTGTGAATGCTAGACAGGTTTGCCCTATCAAGAACCACAGTATTTGGGATCTTATCTTGCCATTTTATTTTGTGCAACCTTGTACAAACTACCAAGACAAAACAGAGGTCTTGTAGCTATTGAACGATGAGCTAAGAACGGACATCACAGCACTCGGCACATTCCCATAAGCGACCCGTCCTCATCTCCTGCAGACAGAGATGAGTTGCAGTTCCAGTGGTGCCAGTAGTAGTTTGTGTCCATGTTGCCATTCCTCTGAGTGTTGACTCTTTGAGTCCCAAGTGGTTTAGCATCACAGGCCCAGGGGGTAGTAAAGAGAATCCTAAAATCGACGCACCGTGCGTTCATTTGGGCTTCTAGGTAGGAACATGTAAACGTATGATGCGTTCCTTGGGACAAAGATTTTAGTGTTGACTAGATCCCGTGATCACTCCTAGCTATGTCATGGAGGCGCTCGTCACTTCATACAGCCCAGGATAAGTAATCTCCTTTAAAACTTGAAGTGCTGGTAATGACCTGGAAACTAAAATAGATAATTCTTCTTCTACTGACTTTCTAACCCCCAGTGGAGCATAGGCCCTCAACCAACTCACGCCAAGTTGTTCTATGCAGCTCTCCCCATGTACTCCCTATCGTTTTAACTTCTCTCTAGCTCCTTTCTCCGTGTGCTTTTTTTCTTTTTTTGCCTTCCTTTATTTCTATTCCACTGTGGGTTCCCGTGCAGATATATTCTAGTTATATTGTTCTCAGGTTTCCTCAACATTTGTCCTATCCTACGCCAGCGTCGTTTCTTCACCTTTTGGTTCACTTGAACTTGTTTAGTTCTCTCCCAATGTTCTACATGGGTGATTCTGTCATATCATTTCATTCCCTCTATTCTGTGCAGGCACCAGATAATGAATGTTTATAGTTTATTGGTAATTGCCTTAGTTGTAGAGATTTGACATTAGAATTTAAAATTTTAAGTTTATTATTAATTTTAATTTCAAAATAAATTAGTTTAATCAATTTTAATTTCTTTTGACCTCCGTAAATTCCATAGTGCTGTGAATGCCTCTAACATAAATTATTACATAAGGTTTTAAATAAGTCGTCAGTCAACTTATAAATGACGGAACATAACACTGACAAGATGGTGGATATCATCAGCGACGAGGTCCAGTTCTACATCGATGTTTATCTGACATCTGTTTTCTGCACGCTGGTTGGTTGTTTCGGGATGGTTGCAAGCGTCATCAATTTCTGTGTATTGACCCAACAAGGTGTGCGAGACTGCATGTCCCTGTGCCTGCTGTCTTTGACATTTTCCGACTTTTTCGTCGGTGCTTTCATGTTTGCCATCAGCTTGTGCTACTCATTCCATCTATTACATCAGGATTTTTACATCGATCCTCTGGCTGTCAACAGCATCCTGAGCTGGGCTTGGGGGCTGCTGTTCGACATTTCAATGCTTACAACAGCTTTCATTTCCGTTGAAAGGTGCCTCAGCGTTCTCTACCCTTTCAAATTTAAAGACATGGCAACTTTCAAGCGCTCATTTTTTGTTTTGTTTTTGATATACAGTGTTACTGTTTGCGGTTATTTGGCGCTGTTTTTGACTCAAGGACTTTCAGAACAAACTGATCCGGGAACTAATTCGACTAAGATAAAATTATGGGTGTCTAGCGACCGCGCAATGGTTGAAACATACACGAATATTTCAGTGCATGTTGTTTACGGGACTTTTTGCGAGATTACTGTTACTGCTAGCACATACGGTATGATTATCGGATTACGTCGATCAGACGAGTTCAGATCAAAATCCGCAAATTCTGATTCTTCCAGTGTTGATGTTTTCAGTAAAAGAAACAAGAAAATCGTCAAGATGGTTACAGTTCTTGCCGCCATTTTTGTCGTCTGCAACGTTGCCAGGCTGTCATTAAACTATGCCCGTTTGGCTTTGCCAGAACTGATGTTGGCCAAACAGATGCATAATAGTTTTAACACTTTTCTCAGGGTCATGTTTCTTTGCGACACCATCGGAGCATCCTCTAACATCTTCGTCTACTACATCTACAAACCAAGCTTCAAAAGAATATTGTTATCAATTTTCTGCAGAGTAGAATTCGGAAAAAGCCTCAAAGAATGAAATGAGGTCAGTCGTAGATTTGGCCCTTAAATGCGGCCCTTTCACAGAGGCATGAGTGATATGTCTGCTATGAGGTTAGTAATACTGTATTTACTCATTTATAAGACCGGGTCTTAATAATTTTTGCTTCAAATAATGTACATTAGCGTTTTTTTTTTTTTTCGGGAGATGGCTTTTTGTTTTTGTTTTTTGAACACAAATCTACATTTATTTATGTACAGAATTCTACATTTATTCAAATACGCCAGACAGGAGGGCCTGTTGTGGGATAGGCAGCTAGATGTGTGTGTATGTATGTCGACAGATAAATATATTGATAGACCTACAAACTGTATGACCGAAAGGTATTCAGAACGACATGCTGTCAGACCGACAGGCTATCAGACTGCCAGACAGACAAACCGACAGGCTGTCAGATAGACAAAAAGACGGAAATGTGGCCAGAAAACCATACAAGTTCCAGTAAAAGCTCTGAGTTGTTAAGACCAACATATCTGCCCAGTAAACCATCGTTCCTTTCTTCCCACCATTACCTCAGTCTCCCACGCTAGATGTCAGTCGCTCGCAGACCCTCGGACTATGTGAGGTCATAAACATCCCCCTTCCCTCTCACCCGTGGCCTGATTTAGACCTGATGAGGTCCTTAGATATAAAGCCCCGAGGCGCCTGTCGTTTTTAAATTACAACAGCTAATGTCAACAACAAAAAAGTTAAATATTAACGTCTTTTAAATAAATCTGAAAGCAGAGACTGGCCAGCAGGTGCCACAGGGGTGGAAATTCAGCAATTAATTCAAGATAATGTTCGCTCAGAAGATTTGATCATTTACACAGACGGTTCAGTGTCAAGAGGCAAAAGAAGTGCGTGGGGTTTCTTAGCAAAAGTTAATGGTCGACGTTTAGTGCAGGAGAGCCTAGCATATGATACCACAACATCCAGCTTAAGAATGGATGTGGAGGCGGTCACTGCACCTTTCCGCTGGCTAGAGAACACAACACACACACACATCGTGATTGTAACTGACTCAGAAAGCATGCTGAGGAAGATCAGGACAGGCATGCTTCGTGCAGAGTTGCATGCCTTACTGCGGAGGACACGGGTAAGGAGTATTGTCTGGATTTTTTCACCAGGGCTTACCGGTGTGTTGGGAAATGAACAGTCGGGGAGACTGGCTGGCTCTGCACAGCTTTGAGGAATACTGGTGCACGATAAGGCAGACGTGGTTAGTGCCTTGTGGGAGAGCTTGTACAGTGCGGAGGAACAGATTGATCACCACAGTGTGGTGAGATTGATGCAGTTGGGAGTGACGAGAGGTTCTGGCAGATGCTCGAAGCTAAGAGGAAAGACAGGGCGGACGTTTAATCAGAATGCTACTGGCACCATTAGTATCGGAACTCTTCGCTGGCTGCTGAAGATGGGGACGGAGCGCTTATGGGAATTCCCCGAGTGCTGTGATGACGGTTCTTGAGTCAAATCAAATCTGATCAATAAAGCTTCTTCTTCAACAGCGTCCCGAACCCTTGAGGTTCATTGCTGTAGACATATATCACCCGCCTCCATTCATCTCTCTGGTTGGTCTTCTTCTTCAGCATTCCGAGCCCTTGAGATTCATTTCGACCGAATACGAATAGTGGGACCAACTATTCGGCCGAATGCGAATACGAATAGTGTATCATCATTTTCAGGTGCCTTGCTGACTGGCGTGGGCGATCATCCCTTTCCACAATCTGCTATCTCCTGCAGCATGTATCAGTCACTATATATATATACATATATAAGGGCTGTACCGAATAGTGATTTTCACTATTCGACCGAATACGAATAGTGGGACAACTATTCGGCCGAATACGAATAGTGTATCAACATTGCCGACTGGCGTGGGCGATCATCCCTTTCCACAATCTGCTATCTCCTGCAGCATGTATCAGTTCGTGTGCTGACACACCTCCTTGCCATGCTAGAAGACTATCAAGAATCTTTTATCGTTGTCTTTCTCTATCCCTCCTTTTACATATCTTTTCAGTGGTCACCAAATGTTTCATTTTTCCTTATTCCATAACATGGCTGAAAAATGACAACTGTCTCCTTCTGATGTCTGTGATTAGTTGTCTTCAGGCTCCCGCCTCTTTCAAAACCATCGTTCGCTCGATGTAATTTAAACGCACCTTCATATTCTCGTTAGCAATATCTTCAAATTTGATTTGGGCGAAGATACCCTGAAAGAACGAAAAATGCATGATCTCTCTCTCTCTCTCTCTCTCTCTCTCTCTCTCTCTCTCTCTCTCTCTCTCTCTCTCTCTCTCTCTCTCTCTCTCTCTGTCTCACACACACACATGCACACACACACACACATACACACACTGCGGTTGACATTTTATGCATTTTGTATCACGCAACCGGATCGCGGTTCCCCCGCTACGATAGACTTAGGCAACCGCAACTATTGTGTTAATGAGACAGTTATTTCAGCCCATCGCAGTGTATGCAGAAACGGCAGTAAGGTAACCACTATTCGTGTTCGGCCGACCGCAACTATTCGGCCGAATACCGAATAGTTATTAGGTCAACTATTCGGCCCCGAAGCGAATACAAAGCGAATATTCGGTACAGCCCTAATATATATATATATATATATATATATATATATATATATATATATATATATATATATATATATATATATATATATATATATATATATATATATATATATATATATATATATATATATATATATATATATATATATAAAGTCGTTAAGTTCAATTTCTATGCCTTTTTTTTCAGATCATCGGCACTAGGCGGATAATGTCGTCAGCATTACGCCGGCCGTCTTTACTTCCCCAAGACATACATCCTGGTACCCATTTTAGGCTGGGTTGACCTGCGACGCCCCATTCCATGATAAAAATCTACGTAGCCAGCAGTGGGTTTCGATCGCGGTATGTTGGAATTACGAGTCGGACTCGCAACGCCTAAGCCACGGACGCCGCCATCTCAATATATTTATGCTACGTAATAAATGGCATCAATGCGAACGCTTCGTAATGCCGGGATGCCGGGTTGGATCCTAGCTTCGGGTCATGCGCCTTTGCGTTGGTTATGACAGTGGTATTAAGAAAGCCGACCGTCCAGGAGCAGTGGCAAACTACTGGACGTGAATTTGCCTAGTAAAACCACACAACAGCCAGGGACTGCTGGGGTTGGTTCTGCAACGTCCTGTAAAGGATACGCAACTAACCCAATAAATGGGATTTGTTGAGGCCTGCAGATTGCCAGACACTAAGTTGTCGCTTCTTGAAGTAAAGTAAAGGGCATCTTTTCACGCCCTTAAGCGTAAAGGGCATATAGGGCTGCACCTACATATTGTAGTCCAATAGGCACAAAGTAGGTGATGTGGTCAGCATCACACCGACCGCCTTCACTTCCCAGGACTGCACCTGGTACCCATTCAAGGATAGACCTGGGCAGGGCTGCCAATAGGATTTTTTTGAAAAACCCAGCTTAGCTGAACAAAAACCCAAGCAATACATAGACAAAGAACAACAACAACAATTTTTTTTGGGGGTAAAAACAGTGTTAAAATGTACAAAATTTATATTTACGAAACGAAACATTTACCACTTTTATAAAAGGATATATTTAAAAAAAAAAAAAAACAAGTTCCCCCAGGCGTCAAATAAAAACCCAGATCTGGGGGGGGGGGGGGGGGGGGGGTTACCAGCATTGGTAGCCCTGGACCTGTAAGTGTGGGTTCTGGGGCCCTATTGTAGGGAAAAACAAGAATAGACCCACTGCCTCCCCAAAAGCATGTCGTAAGAGTCGACTAATTGGGGAGCTTCCTTTGAAGTCGGAGTGCATCTGCCGTAGAGGCAAGGAACCAACAGTCTGTATTCAAGAGAATAAGATCTGTAAAACTGATGCACACGCAACACTCAGGTTCTGGAGCAGGACTGCAGTTCAGTAGTGGACGAACAACCAGAACTTTCCGCCAGAGTGTACAGCTGGTGAACGTGAAGAAGAAGAAGAAGAAGAGGAGGAAGAAGATTTTTGAAAAAAGTCCGTCTTCGTCAAGACCTGGACCCATGACCTTCCGATCCACAGGCTTATGTTAGGCAGCACTGGCTCCACCCCCGTCCCCAATGATTCAGCAATCAGGCCTTAATAAACGCAAAACCACTGGTCTTCTCCTCTCCCACTCTTACGTTTGCGCCTCACGTCGTTGAACTAGTGCAACCCTGGCCAATTGGATTTTTATCAAAACCCAAGCTTAGCAGACCTAAAAAAACCCAAGCAAAGAACAAAACCAGAAACAAAAATCCAAGATTGATAAATAGTACAAATTTTATAGTAACGAAATGAAACATTTACCAACTTTTTAATAAGAATATTATTAAAAAAAAAAAAGCAAAACAAGATTCCAAAATCTGAACCCAAGGCGTCATATAGAAACCCAGATCTTAAGGGAAAACCCAAGAATTGGCAGCCCTGACCTTGGCTTCTAAGCAACTCTTTGTTTCCTAGGCCGCCAGATTTGTTCTGATTTTTCCCGCCAACTTGGCTGAGCATTCTGGCATTACAGATGCTCTAATTGGCTGAGGTATACCTTTGTTTGGCTTGCTTTGCGGGTAGAGGGGAGGGGGGAGCGCCGTCACGTTTAACCAGCATCCCCGAATGAAGCAGTTTCGGTTTTAATTGTGACTAAGTTATGTGCACCATATAAAATGTCTTAGCATTGCTGGCCTCCGAGTAGCTCTAAAAATAACTCTAACAGTGTTAATGTGATCAAAAGAGGCAGACCAAAATACTTTCCCGACCGGCGACCAAGTCGTCTACCGGCCAGCCAACAGGCGACCCGGTCGCCCATGGTGTTGTATACCAGGACGTTCTCTTTATAATAGTGCCCGAGATTTGAATGTCCGGTGGTGTAACAGTCGGCTCTCACTGCTGGAGAAAGGCCCTTGTGTGGGGTTCGGGGCTCCCTATTGTAGGGGTGTCGG